CAGAAAATACTTATTATATATTAAATTGAGAACTAATTATCATGAATGATTTAGTAAATCAAAAGGGCAGACATACTAATTATGAATTTATTTCTAAAAATCAAGTCATAGAAAATACTTATTACATATTAAATTGTTAACTAATTATCATGAATGATTTATTAAATCTAAAAGGCAAACATACTAATTATATATTTATTTCCAAAAATATTGTTGATACCATTTCCAAAAGAAGCATTTACTGCTATCATTAGTAACATCAATTCCATCAACTCCCTCTTTATATATATATAGAATATAGATATATGGACTTTTACATTTAATTAATACCCATGTAATTTTTTCCAAAGCCCCTTAAGCCCATTTACATATACATATATGGGCTTTTACATTTAACTAGTACAGATCCCGTGCGATGCACGGGGTGTACAATTTTAAGGTCATATATCTAGCCTTGTAATTATATAAATGAATAAAAAAATGTACGGGATATATAGTACGTGACCTGTGCGAGGCACGAAAACTATTTATTTGAGGAGTATAACATTTTAAAACGTGGAATATCTTTTCATTTGCCAGTGAGATAAGTATGTTGCACTATTCTTATCATCTTTTATAAATAAATATAATTAAAAATTATTTCTTGCATAATACTATGAGATGTGTTAGTTATATTAGTTGTGAATTTGTTTTTATTTGTGAAAGAGAGAGCGTGATTTATTTCCTTAATAATATAAAATTTTGGAAACAAAAAAATATGAGATAAAAAAAATACACGTCTAAATTGGAAAAAAAATAAAAAAAGATTTGTGATCAAATGCGTGATTTATTTCCTTAATAATATGAAATTTTAGAATCAAAAAATTCTGAAATAAAAAAAAAAATACACGTCCAAATTGGAAAAAAGATAAGAAAAGATTTGTGATCAAATCTTACTATACACGTTTTATTTCTTAATTTTATCAGATTTTTTTTTACCAAACTACACGTAATTAATGCACTGATAAGATTAGAAAGTCATTAATTAATGTTGACTATTCAACATACTGAATTTAGTAAATAGGTTTGCTTATAATATAAGTATAGATGGGCTTTTACATTTAATTAATACCCATGTAATAATATGACCGTGCAATTATAAATAACGAGTTCGACTGATATTTGTCTTGTCAGCAATTACTGTGTATGTCAAGGCGGCTTCTTTGAGATATCCGGGTCGGGCTGGCGGTTTCTGGATGTGGTCCTTGTCTTCTGAGAACTCAGTCAATATAAATCAGACAGAAGAACCTGCTATTTATATTTATTTAATATATATCCACGTGTAACATTTTAATAGGCGATGCCAAAATTGGGTAACAATTTATTTTTTTTCTTACATAATATAATCTAAATTTAGTTATTAGATTTTATAATAAATAACATGAAAAAATGCAATATAATCTTTTATACTTATGTAACCTTTATAGTAACTGTTATACGACGAAATAGTTAAAAAAATGATCATTATTTAATTAATTATCATACTTAACTTAAAAAAAAAGAGAGAAAAAGTAAAAAATATCATAAATTATTTTTATAATTATTACTTAATTAATTACCATACCTAACCTAAAAAAAAAAAGAGATAGAAAACGAAGAAATTATATTTTTTCTTTTGTTTACAATTATATAAATCTAAATTCCTCCGATAAACCACGAGTTCCCGAGTATGACCCGGTGCCGAGTCGTTCGCTAAATTCGTCCGCTCTGCTTCAATTTTTTTCCTTTTCTTTCTTACCTTTTTGAATTTAAGGTACGCAAATTTGGCAGTTTACGGGCATCGCCTAAAAAATTGAGACGAAAACACACACACTTCACCTTTTTCTCGTCTCTACAGATAACTCGATTTCGTTTCTCACTCTACGTGCGGACGCGTTGCTTGCTTGGCTCTGAGGAATTTCGACGGAGCTCGAGGGCAGTGTTATGTGTGTATAGCTTTTTTCTTGCCGGAGCTTGAAGTGTTGTCGGAGTTAGGGTTATGAAGGAAAACACCATTGGGGTTGAGTTGAGGGGAAATCAAAGGTGAGGATTTCGTCACCGGATGGAGGGAGGTAGCGTCTCTACACTTACTTCTTCTGGTACTCTTCGTTTTCCTCTGTAATTTTATCCTTCAAGTAGGATTTTGGAGGGCTATTGATTTTATCGTGTGGTTGTGAGAAGCAGAGCTGTGGATGGAGCTTAGTATTCGGGTTTCCTTTTTCTTGTTCCTTTTTTTTGTTCTTAACAGTGTGGTGTTTGAGAGCAGAGGCTTATTTATCGCTATAGTATATTGTTAGTGTTTTGGATGGTTTGTTCTTGGTAGTGGGAAGAGCTACCGTCTCCAGGGTGTCTCTGATAAGTGATAACCGAACTGTTTTTTTTTTTTTGTG